GGGTTGCTCAGAAAGCTGGGCTTCCAAGATGGTTTTATTTCAGTCTGTGTTGTTGACCCTGTAAGACTAGTCAGAGGTTCGAGGCTCTCTAGGGCCGAGTTTAACAAATGAGGCCACTGGCAGTTAATGTCAAATTGCTTTCATATTAATATTCAGTTATATATATTAAATTAATACACGGAGCCTTTGACAATCCACAGATAAATGTGGTATTTTCCTAAAGCCAAGACTAAAGGTTGCAAGGTTAAGCCTTTCTCCAAAGGATTAACTAAAAATATCTTAGCTACTTCTCGGTTCTTTGTTCTACGGACAAAGAACCCATCCTCCCTAATCGTTTTCCAGGTGCAGCCCATTCACCAGGGCCTCCAGAGTCCTCCTGGAAACCTGGTTCAGGAAGCCTAAACAGAGGGACTCCTCCCAAGCTTTTGTCATTACTCTCACCTTCCCCCATCTGACCTCAGGGGCTATAGATATGTTAATCGGGCCTGAGAATCCAAGTTACTTGCCAGGGATTCGAACCAGCGAAGTAAGATGTAAAGTTACCTGAATGTCTGGAAAAGTACTGATGTTAGCTGTACCTTGCCTAAGTCCCTCCCAGCGTGGTGTGAAGCTCCTCCCCTAAATAAAAGTGACCCGGGCCTCCCCAGGAGTGCATTACTGGTTGGAGGACATGGAGTAAAGATTGCAGTGCATTAAGGGTTGAAGGGAATGCAGTAAAGATGGCAGAGCAGTGAGTTGCTGCCTGCAGAGGCCATGATGCCGGTAGTCCCAGGCCTGTGCACCAGTGATGTATCCACCCTGGCTTTGGAGTGCCTCATTGTCTGTCTCTTTCTGTGTATTCTTGATATATTGCAATCGCCGTCAGGTATCCCCTCCTCGTGAACCGAACCCCTATGTGGAGGCGGGTCCCCGACAAGTCTGGACACAGGCCAAGGCCAAAGCAACCATCCTGGCTCCATCGTTACAAATGGGGGCTCCCTCTCCAGATTCCCTAAGTGCCTGTCAGTCACCAGGGAGTCTGCGTTCCCTTAAGTCTGTGTTTCCATAAAATCAATCCGTGATCCTTGTACTGGTCATTGGTTCGCTATGGGTTGGGACCAAATTGATGGCATTGAACAAAAGTTAACTGAGAAGCAAGGCATGGAAATGACAACACATAAAAAAAAATGACAAAACTGAGAATTCGAAAAGTAGGTGACTGACATGTACATATTCATCATTTTCCCAATGAATGTTCTTTATTTTCATGACGTGGGTCTCTACTGCCAAATCTCCTAGTGTTGAAGACAACATGAACACCTGGGGTCTTGTGTGGTCAGTTTGTATGGGGAGGGCCCCGGGTAATCCAAGGGCAGTGCAGGGCACAAGGGAACTGCCATTCTGCAGTGCCTCCAGGGTTTCACTGCCTCAATGGACCTTCACTCTACATTGTTTGGTTTTGTTTTAGAGTCTCATGATGGGTCTTCTGGAAGGCATAGCTGTTTGGCCAGAATGAAGTGATGATCTGTATTAGACCATTTCTCAAAATTGTCACTGTTTCTAGCTGTTCTAAACCAGAAACGGAAAGGAATACAACAGTTGGTTGCATTCACACTGTGAGGGATTGTTATCTTATGACACAGAAAGCCACCAGACAGGAAGGGAATATATTTAGTGAAGATACACGTACCTTACAGTAGACCTTGGTGGTGGTGGTGGATGTGTGCTGGGGAGTCAGTTCTGACTAATAGCAAACCTGTATAGGGATTCCGAGGCTTTAAATCTTCACGAGGGCCAAAAGCCTCATCTTTCTCCTGTGGAATGAATGCTAGTTTCTCACTCCTGAGTGGAGGTTAGTAACCCAACTTGTAACCACACCCCTACCAGAGTTCCTTGGTCAAACATAAAAAATTCTGCAGAGCTGTGAGGATGGAAACCTAGAAAGACTTGGCCTCACTGGGAGAGAATGAGATCTTTTATTGTGGTGGGTATTCCTGTAGTCTTGGGAAACGTTTTACACACCATGGTTAGTCCAGTATTTGGGTTGAGGAAGGTGATTACATTGTTATATAAAACAAGAGCCATCTCATATTTCTATGGAGCTTCCATATCCTGGATGCCACAGATAATAAATTTCTTAATGTGAAAGTGCGTTTTTACATATTTCTCTTGAGATCAGTAATGCTGACACTCACCAAAAGGTTATGAATGTAACTTCTGCCTTTAGGGGTTCCGTTGGGACTCACCCTTCAGAGATCTGAGTGGGATTTTGCAGAGTTTTAACTATGCTTATTACAAGTTTAACATATCATTGTGATACAAATGAACTCATTCTCCTTTCTTCTTTTTTTACTGTTTGAATTTCTGGTCCATATGAGCATAAGTCAAAAGTTGTATTATCAATATAAACCCCAAGGGTTTTAAGACCTTACATATTTAGATGTAGAAAGATGCTATGCTAAATTATTAAATTTATCTATGAGATTTTAGCACTGTAAACCAACGGCATGTGCTACATGTTCAGGTTTAAGAACTCTAAAGAAGTGTTCCTCACTGAGGATTGTAATATATGTGGATAATATGAAGCATATACTAATGTCCACATATGTGTGCATAAGACCACACCTGTGTATGTGTGTCCACTCACTGCCAATGTTAGCATATACTAATGTGCACACGTGTATACATAAGACCACACCTGTGTATGTGTGTGGACTCACTGCCAATGTTAGCACATACTAATGTGCACACATGTGTGCATAAGACCACCTGTGTATGTGTGTGCACTCACTGCCAATGTTAGCACATACTAATGTGTAATCGTGTGTACATAAGACCACCTGTGTATGTGTG